GATGAAGGTGAAGTGGGGGGGGCTCGATGATTAGTTGAGGGGCGCTAATTCGCAAAATAAGGTGATTTTAGGTGATTTTTAACTACTTAAAAAATAGATTATAAAAATATTCAAATTAGATATTTAAAAAATGGTTCGGGTAGGAATCGAACTCACGACCTCCAGGTTATCTAGCCAGATGAAAACCACTACAGATTATGATGCGAGTTTTCCTCAAGAAATATCATAGGAGTGATTATTTGCTCTACCTGACGTATTAGCGTACCGAACTCAGTACGTCTCCAAATATTAATAATAATAATAATAATTTTTAAAAAATAAATTTAAAAAAAAGTCAAAAAGTGTCAAAAGTAAGAAGAATTTAAATATTCAAAATAATTGTTATTAATAAATATATCTTATGAAGCCCTTAACATTGCTTGGGGAAATCCATCACTGAGCAAACATACAAATCAATCACTCCCTCATTCTAATTCCTATATACATGACTTACCATAGTATTCCTGTCCTCTATATACATGACTTACCTTAATATTTGCTTGTTTCGTCTTACGTCTGACGGTAGTCACTGAACAAACATACAACTCATTACAATATCACTCTCTCATTCTAATTTCTATATACCTGACTTACCATAGTATTCCTGACCTCTATACATGACTTACCTTAATATTTGCTTTTTTCGTCTTACATCTGACCGGTAGTATTATGTTCTTATTAAATATTCAAAATAATTGTTGTGAATGAATATTATTTTAAGTTTTAAAAAATGGTTCGAGTGGGGATCGAACCCACAACCTCCAGGTTATCTAGCCATATGAAAACCACTACAATGCTATTATGATGTGAGTTTGCCTCAAGAAATATCATAGGAGTAATAATTTGCTCTACCTGACTTGTTATCGTAAAGAACTCAGTACGTCTCCAACCATGGCCAACAAAAAAATGTTTAAAAAATGGTTTGTGTGGGAATCAACCCACGACCTCCAGTTTATCTAGCCAGATAAAAAAAAAACACTAAAATGCTGAGTTTTTCTCAAGAAATATCATAGCAGTGATTATTTGCCCTACCTGTCGTGTTATTGTACTAAATACTCAGTCCGCCTTAAATACAGCCAATAATAAAAATAAATAAAAACAAATCTTGGTTCGTGTGGGAATCGAACCCACGACCTCTGAGTTTACTATCCATGATCCACCATCGACTAAATGGAGGGAGGAAAAACCGCGACCCCTAAGCCATAAATTCGAAGTACCAGTCAGTCAACTCTCTGAGACTACCAGACAACATGATTCGAATATATAAATCCTATGCCTACTACTCAGGCTCTGGCACTTAATTTTTTAGGCCTGCCTATACTTGTCATTCTAGTTAGGCATGAATGTATGGCATTGAATATGGTAGCCTATTAACTAATTTAATTAAGCACATTTACATTATTATTATTATTATTATTATTATTATTATTATTATTATTATTATTATTATTATTAATTAATTAATTAATTAATTAATTAATTAAAATAATAATATTATTAATATTATTATTATTATTATTATTATTATTATTATATTATGGTTATTGAAGTATTTTGTGTAAGCCATTTCGGCCCTTAACTGAATAATAATATAACGTACCATGTGAAATGTACTCACTATACATATTTCATGAAGAGATCCGGGACACGGATGAAATATTTATAGTGAGTACATTATACATCGTACGTTATATTATTATTCAAGTGCAGAAATGGCTTAGACAAAATACTTCAATAATCATAATACAGTATGTCGTATATGGCCTTAACAGTAGCGAATAGGTAGATGCAAGCAATAGATGCAACATAATCGATTATTATTATTATTATTATTATTATTATTATTATTATTATTATTATTATTATTATATTTTTATTATTTTTATATATTAATTCATTATTATTACTTTTTATTGTTAAATTATTGTTATTAAAATATTATTATTTCTATTATTATTTTGCATGTTGTTAGGTATAGGCTGACGTTACTACAATAACTCAATTTACTAGAACAATTCTTATACAGTATTGTTTATTTACATTTTTTAAACTTTAAATAATACAGACAGATAATTATTAAATAAAAAGTTGATTGATCAAATATTCGGTCTATTACAATAATATAATATACCCGGTAATACACATAAACATAGTTACCAACCGCCTCGCATCGTGCGGGACGGTTCCGCATTTCAAAGTGATTTTAGATGAAACACGCATTTCGCAAAAACGCATGCGTGATCCAAAATTTGTCACGCATTTAACACAAATCTGCGTGATAACGATTTATCACAAATTCAGGGGAAAATGTATTTAAAATTAGAAGAAGCCGGTTGTATTAAAACTATAAAAAAAAAAACGGTGATACAGTAACTTCAGTCATGAGAGAGGACAGTATTTCGTTGAAGGCTCTACTTATTTCACTAATGAGTTACTAAAGATTGATCAGTTTAATGAAATGTTTGTGGTCTACATAGTTCGGGTGCTCAAAATAAACATAGGCCTACATTGAACTCAATGCTTTATTTAATATTTAATAAGAAGTTTATTAATAATATTTTTGCTTGTACCTGTATTATCAACAAACAATCTCTTAAATCGTTTTAGAACAGCTTGAAAATGCTCAGATCGTCGGAGCGCCCCCCCCCCCCCCCAGCCAACTGGTATAGTCACTCACTCATTTAAAATCTCTCAGGTCGGTAACTTAGCTTTCATATTTCACATGCAGCGAACAGACCATTTTTGCTAGACTTGCCACAAGTCTCGTTTTTTTTTTTCTTATTTTTCTCATTCTGGACAGCGCCACCGACGAAAAAGTTAATTTAGAGTCGGAATAAGAAAAAAAGAAACCGAGTATGGGACGCTAATTAAATTAGGTATGGCACGCACTAAGTGTATTAAAGAGTAAGTAACTTAAAATTAGGGCCTGGTACCCAGGCTACACTTTCGCGAGAAGAAGTGTCAAGCATGCATGCTATTCATGTTCAGTTTACCGAAATGACCTTAAATAGAGCCCCACTGTTCCCTGGGTTAACCGCTAGACAAACACAGTGTCTATGTTAAACTACTAGACGATGATCCCCCCCCCCAGGGGACAGGCACAAAAATGCTACCACATCAATTGCTTAAGACTAAACTAATCTATATAAATAAACGATTAGCGATGGTGTGTCATGTGACTAAGAACACGAACTGTTACACTTGAAGAAAATAGTGTTATTTGCAGTGAAACTGCAGGGACTATGTCTATATATGCAGTTTATCCTGACACATTCAATGGACTAGTACAGTATAGTTAGGCCTACTCATTCACATATAAGAAATATACCTAATTTACGAGTTCACATCACACCAGTTACCGAGTTCAAGTTCCATGGCTAATGAATATCTTTATCATTTTGGTTTAATAATTGCAATTTTTGGATGCAACAGCGGACCTAGGAATAAATCTGATTTTTATATCTCTTCTGCTAAAATGTTGTTTTGGCTTTGTTGTTTTGATCTGAAACCGTCGACTTGAATACCGTACTTCAAAAGAACTTCTAATCGTGTTGTCAATATTTACTCATACAAGAACCTGAAGTCAACAGTATAGTACTGTGGGTAAAATCTCGCCACTTATAAAGTTAATTGGCCTGCTCTCGAACCTTGGCACAGTTTGGGTCGATAACAGACATCTATA